GGATGGAACTCCTGCGGGAGCTCTGTCTCTCTGATCCCAGCACTGTAAGGCCTACCTGTGATCAGACATTCAGTAAACTTTCTGCTGATTTTAAACAGTCCTCTCCTGTCGTCACTTCTCGTGCTTCCAACAAAAGAATTGGGTTAATTTCTGACAAAAAGGTTAGAATCTAACAGTATCACCCAGGGACACGTCGACATGTGGACCAGAGAAGCCGGGATAAGGACCACGACCTGCTCTACTTCCTGAGCGACAGCCACCCACAATTTATTTAACAAGAGGGAGCAAAATGCCAGACCTATTGTTGACCCCAACATTCACACAATTAGTTAGGCTGGTTCACTAGTTAGCTAAACTAGCCATAAGCCACACCAGTCTAATTACAAACTCCATTTCCAGAAAAGTTGGGACATTTTGCTAAATGCAATAAAAGTTAAAATCTGTGATTTGTTCATTCGCTTGAACTTTTAACAGTCAAAAGTACAAAGAAACTGTAAGATTTGAGTCTTATAGACTTTAGTTGCTTCTCATGCCTTTAGTTCCCTTTAGTTACCTTTCATAACTTTATCTTACCTGATTACAGCTGTATTGATTATTGTGCATTACTGAGCCCTGGTTATTTTCTAACACAGTCAGTCTCCTTGCTTATATGTCTTACAATTTGAATGAGGTGATACGTCAGCTTATTGTCTCTCACACAGACACACAGACACACACACACAGACACACACACACACACACACCTAGACAAAGAGGCTCCGGTTTACATTAAATGGAGAATAGTGCAAGACTTGATTCTTATAGGCCCTAGTTACTTTATAATCTTTAGTTACTTTTCTGTTCATCATTGTCTTTCAGGTACTTTTCATATGTTTACCTTCCTTGCTTACACATGGTAAAACTGTACTGATGATTGACCAGAATTACTGAGCCTTCATTACTTTAATACATTTAATTCCATTTGTGCTGATGGGAGTCAGGTGATACTGAAGTATAAACTGATCACTTTAACTTCTGTATACACTCAGGGTCTGCACGCAGGTCCTGCTTTGTTATATAATGGGATTACACAGATGGGGGGTCTGCGGCACAGAAAACCCATTGTTTGGTTGCCGCCTAGAAAGTCACATGACAACACTTACACACCTGGTTTCGCGAGATCTTTGTTTGGGGCGGACCCAGCCCAAAATGCATAAATGTATTGTGAAATCATGACTCGGGGGTCAGTGGATGGAACTCCTGCGGGAGCTCTATCTCTCTGAATCCAGCGCTGTGAGACTTTCTTGTAATCAGACTTTCAGTAAACTTTCTGTTGATTTTAAACAGTCCTCTCCTGTCGTCACTTCTCGTGCTTCCAACAAAAGAATTGGGTTAATTTCTAACAAAGAGGTTAGATTCTAACAAAACGTTTTCAGTGTTTTCGCTGTCCAATTTAAATGCATTTTGTAAATATAAACAAATTTACTTGATGCCTGCAACACACTCAAAAAAAGTTGGGCCAGAGTCATGTTTCTCGCTGTTGCATCGCCTTTCCTTTTAGTTACACTGTCATGACATGATTCCCACAGATTTTACATTTGTTGCAGTAGTGTGGTATTGTTTGGTAAAAGCATAGCTTGCAGCAGGCCTGCCTCTACTCTCACTCATTTAATCTCCAAGTTTCACATGAAGCCTGCAGAGGGCAAAGTGTGAACGCCTAAAGAATGCCACTATGGTTATTGAGAATCTGTAGTGTTAGAGACACTTTAATGCTGGATTAAATTGTGAAACCATGATTCTGACTCGAAACAATCGCTCAGCCCTGATATCCATATACTTACAGTATATACAGGTTTAGTACAAATACAATGGCAGACCAGAATACCTGTAACTGTTAAGATAAACACAATCAGATAAAATATAAAGATGGCCTTCCCTCCTTCAATATCCCAAAACTTTGCATGTATTAGTGGAGTGTGTGCAGTGGTGGAGTACCTGTTGTGCAGTGATGCCGTTGGCGATGGCCTGTTGCACTGACTCCCTTGTAACCTGAGCCACTACTACATTAGGGAAGCGATACAGCATTTCACTGAAGAGAGCTACCAGAGCGATCTGAAGTTCGGAGTCTGGGGAAGACACACAAATGAGTCAGTACAAGTTCTGTGAAACTGAAAACACATGCAGGAAACACACTGCTGCATCGGTTGACATCAGAGGTCGTGCTAGACTTTTTCATTGTCCGGCATTTTGACGGTCCTAAAACGCTCTGTGAGCCCCACAGACGTGCACCGTGGCCTCCAGTCAGTGGCTGTTCAACACACTGTCAGCTCCCAGATAACAAGATGCCCTGAGTACTGTCTCAGTCCATCATCCATCACATCAGCTCCTCATTTTTCACCTCATTTATTGGATTAGAGTAAACTGCCCTCTCTTTTCTTATCTGTCAAAATGATTTTTCCATCATTATAAAAAAAAAAATAATGTAACCTCTGATTGACATGATTCCTTATTATGAAACACCAGACCCTGATATATTTTTTAATGTTGCTCCAAAGGCCCCAAATGGCCATATCCTTTTACAGCATCTTAAGTAAGCAAGAGTCAAGGGCCTATGCATGAGATCTCTGGATATTCTTAACAAATATTAAGGCTTTTTGTTTTGTAATGAGAAAATATGTCACCCAGTGCAGTGGTGTGTTTCCCTGATGTGTTGTAGAGGTCTATGGCACAGATGAATAAGCTAATGCAGGACTGACAGACATTAACCCTGAGGACAGACAAATCACTGCTGGTTTTAGTCTCTGCATGGGGAATGCAGAAAATGACCAACCTTATCCTTTACTCGACAAGACACTGATAAACATCTTGTTCTCAGGAAAAAAAATCACGAAGCATCTGTTTTTCAAGCTCTTCCTTGAAACCTCACCACTGCCTGTATGGCAGGATAATCTTGTGGCTGTAGTAACTTTATTGTGGTGCAGTTTGCAGTTCATTTGTCTTAAGTTATTTGGAAAGCATCAAAACAGACAGGAAAAACCCACAGTCAGCTGGTGGTGTTATAAACTGGGCTTTCCACCAGGTGCAGGTCTATTATGTCCCAAGGTTTTGATCCATCCTCTTCACAGCTTCATCTTCTACAGTGGCTACATAGTTAAATGGTCCCTTTTATGGTCTGTTTTAATTGTATTTAATGTTGTTATTTCCGACTTTCTGCTGTAGCGTAGACAAAATCTACATTTAAGTCATTATAAAGAACATAAGTTATACATTTTATGGCTGTGTTACAGTCTGTGCAGATTCTCAGTCATAGTACACTGAAAAAAACTTAGAAAAAAAATCAACTGGACTAGATTTCTAGGTTTCACCTCTCATCCAAGAGGCTTCATCAGTTCTGACTGGCTGGTGTTGAGCCGGAGATATTTATAACCCTCGGTGGTGTTTCAGTCCTTTGAAGGCCAACAATGTCCCTTAACGACTGAGTCGTTATAGCCCAGTATCAGTGAGAGTCGTTACCTGTCTTTGAATCCTCCCCTGTCGACCGTTGCCTATTGTCCTGGTGGGCATGTTTGGGCAGGGATCTCAAGACAGGATTGTAGATGGATGACAAGTTGTGTCTTACTCCACCACCCCTATTTAGTGAGGGGTGTTATATTTTTACAAAAATAGCTTCCTTAACTCCTCTCTCAAACCAGCAATGCTCTCTGGAGATGATGTGGACTTCACTGTCCTCAAAAGAATGTCCTTTGTCCTTCATGCAGGTTGCTTATGGTCAAGGATAACTAGATAGAAAGTTGATAACTGTTAGAAGACAGGATGTTTAATATTATTATTATTCTGACATGTATAACTGTAGTCATAGCCATAATATTTTCTTATGTTTAATGTCATGACATGTCACTAGAGGTCGTGTTAGAATGTTTTAGCTACACACATTATCAACAGACAATCACACATTTATTTTTCTTCATGCTTTGACTACTGCCATGGTCAGCTGCAAAGCACCGGGAGACGTCACGGTTTGGCGTTCCTGTGTAGAATGGGGCTAGCCCAACCAAAGTGATATAATGTATAGGCCTGTTGTAGTTCGGGGTCTTTCATCTTTCAGCTGCCTGCGTGCATGTTGGAGGTGCAAGATACCTGAGCGTGTAATTTTAATTTTTACCTGTGTTCATTGAATAAATCAGCACTGTTTTGTAGTTACTTGGACTGCCTCGTCTCTCCACGTCCATATGGGAAAAAGGAC